GCCTCCTCCTCCTCCTCTCCCTCCTCTTCCTCCTCCTCCTCCTCCTTCGCCTAGGGCCCTAGGCCACGAATCTTAAACGCCAAGTCCTGAACGGTTGCGGTCCTGCATCGTGAGTTTGCAGCACACAAGACGGATGCTTCTGGGTTTCCGGGCTTGTTTTGCGGGTTTAGGGTCTCGGGTTCCGTGAACTCGAAGTTGGTTCGCGAGATCACGGGACGTGATGATGATCCCGGCGCGCTGTGATCTGTGCTCCCCGCAAGACTGCCAAACCACCCCGTCATCTAGGGTTTAGGGGTTTAGGGTTTGGGGGTTTAGGGTTTGGGGGTTTGGGGTTTAGGGTTAGGGTTTAGGGTTGTCATCCTGACAACCTGTTTTCGCAAATTCCAACACCCCCGCTGCCAGAATCCAATGTTCCCAATCCCCGACACTCCTATACCGAAGCCACCTGCACTGAGTTTCAGGTTTTTGCTACTTTGAAGGCCCCCCTTTTAATTTTTATTTAGAACCCATGGTCCAAGGACTGACCTACCGAGAGGCATCGAGAAGTTGCAGAAGCTAAAGCAAGTGCTTCTGCCACTTGGCGTAAGGCTTGCAAAGACTAAACCCTAAACTCTAACCCTGAACCCAAAACCCTCAATCCTAAACCTTAAACCCTAAGCCCCTAAACCTGAAACCTAAACCCTAGCCCTAAACCCTGAACCCTAAACCCGAACCCCAAAACCCTCGAACCCTCAAAGCCCACGCCCCCAAACTCCAATGCCTAAAGCTCCAAGCTCCCGGACTCATAAGGCCTGAACCTCACGCCCTCAAACTAAAGCCTACAGGCTTGGGCATCTTCAAAAAGAACACTAAACCCTAAACCCTAAACCCTAAACCCTAAACCCTAAACCCTAAACCCTAAACCCTAAACCCTAAACCCGGTCCTCATCCTGAACCCTAAACCCTGAACCGGCAATCTACAGCGTCACCCTGGTCTCCATCCCAAACACTCCGCCTCTAACGCCCTGGGCCCTACGCCATAAATCTGAACTCTGAACCCTTTAGGGTTTAGGGTTTAGGGTTAGAGTTAAGGTGTTAGGGTTTAGCTACAAAGCCCCTCAGCGCCGAGGAGCTCGAACAAGTTGGAGGCACTTCCTGCAAACATCGGGGCCCTGGTCGCTGGGTGGGATTTATTCTTCCGGCTTGGGGGTCCTTCGGGGGGTCTGTAGGGTTTACTTGAAGGATCGGGGGACTTCGGAAGTAGCTTATAGGTCAATGAGCATACGAGTTATGGCTACAAATGCGATCACCTAGGATTTAAAGCCAGTCTTACTATCCCCTGATCCTCGAAGAAGGGTCCCAAAGTGTTGAGGGTTTAGGGCATTTGGGGCTTAGGGTTGAGGAGTCTTGTTAAAAATTTTTGGATTTCAAGGAAGATGTTCTTTCTTTGGATTCTGTAGGGTGCTGTTTTCCAATCAAGATTCAACAAGATGTGCAGGAATTTCCACGTTGTGCTCAGGGCCCTAAACCTTGAACCCCAAACCCCTTAAGCCCTGAACCCTAAACCCGACACCCCTTAAGCCCTGAACCCTAAACCCTAAACCCCTTCAGCCCGAAACCTAACCGGGCTTGGGGCTTGAAGGCTTTGGTTCGCGAGGCGCAAGATTTCAGTGTGCGGGCTTTCGGCAGTCGGCCCCGCCGTTTAGGGTTTAGGGTTTAGGGTTTAGGGTTTAGGGTTTAGGGTTCAGGGTTTAGGGTTTAGGGTTTAGGGTTTAGGGTTTAGGGTTTAGGGTATAGGGGTTCAGGGTTTAGGCGTTCTCCAGTGGTTCAGGGCACTTCGGGTGATTCACGGTTTGTCCAGCACTACGGTACCCGTGAAAGACTATCGGTGCAACTGCCATAGCAAGGCACCCAGTCTTTCTGGAAGCTGCCGCAACCAGAAGGCACACTGCCCATGAACAGCCCTGTGAAACCCTAAACCGTAAGATCTGAACCCTAAACCTGCAAAACCCTAAACCCAAAACCTGCAAAATCCTAAACCCTGAACCCTGAACCTGCAAAACCCTAAACCCTGAACTCTAAGCCTCTAAGTTTCTACAAGCTCTTGTCCTGCTGCCCAGGGAGCTTTGCAGGATTTGCGTGTGGATGCGAATCTGCCCCTCGGAGGAGTTTAAACCCTAAGCCCTAAACCCCTAAACCCCTAAACCCTAAACCCTAAACCCTAAACCCTAAACCCTAATCCCAAAGCATCTCAGGTTCCTGTCCGGGGCTTTCAATGAGAGGCATCGGGGGCCAGATTTGGTAGTTCAAGAGTCTGTTTAGGGCTTAGGGGTTTAGGGTTTAGGGGTTTAGGGTTTAGGGGTTAAGGGTGTAGGGTTTAGGGTTTAGGGTTTAGGGTTCAGGGTCTAGGAACTGGGATTTAGTGTTGAGGGTTTGGGGGTGTGGATGATCGGGGTGACTTGACATGTAGGGCTTGTGGCCCAAAGCCTTAAACCCTAAACCCCAAAATGCTAAACCCCAAAACCCAAAGCCCTAAACCCTAAACCACCAAAGCCCAAAACCCTAAACCTAAAACCCTAAAAGCCCGGCTCCAACTATTGAGGTGCCTGTGTTATGCCCCAGGGCTTAATTTAGAACCCAAAGGAGTTAGTCGCGCAGGTCCTGCCTAACACCGCCATGCACACAAGAAGCCACCCTAAACCAAAACCCCTAAACCC